CCGCGCTACGCGGCATGGCGCGTCGCCGGTCTCCGTCAAGCCCAATCATGTTGATTCAACAAAGTACCTACCTACCAAATTGCTGGAATTTGGTATTCGGCCAGAAAGATGGAGGGAGAAGGAACCATCGGAGCAAGCTAGAGGACTGGAAGCCGTCTGATTGCACATCTAGGACAAACCAGCATCACGATGATGTCGCTCCAGCGGAAAGCCGAGCGATGATTGGCCGCACACACATTCTCTCTCTCTCTCTCTCTCTCTCTCTCTCTCTCTCTCTCTCTCTCTCTTCCCCTTTTCCTCGATCCCTTCAACCCCTCGTCCGTACGCCCGAAACCCGATGGCGTCGGGGGCTGGGGGTGATTGGACGCATCTCGGTGATTGTGGCACCCACCGTCCACCCCTCTGCACTCCCCTTCTCTCTCTCTTTCTCTCTCCCTCCCTCTCTCCTTTCGTTCCGTCCACCGCGCCATCCCTTCTACACGGCTGTAAATCGAGTTTACCCTCTTGCCGTGGCTCAGCCCTTCAATCAAACTGATTGAAACATTCCTTGAATCCAAAAGAAACGAACCGCCATCCCTTCTCTCTCGTCTCTCCAACCTCCCCGCTATCTTTCCGAGTCGCACCGCGCTCGCTATCCTCTCTATCCATCTGTCTATCCACTCGGCCCGCGCGGATATATCCGTCGTTCTCTTTTCGACGAGGCGGTTGCAGCAGACGCTGCTGCCGCGCGCAGGAGACACCCGATGGTGTTTCGAGACAACCGGTTGGTTTCAATTCCGACAGTAGTTTGATTGTAAAGCTGCGCAGGATATAAAGCGCTTAGCGTGATATGATGCACCGAGTGTTCCGTAAGAATGTGCTATTGTTGCCTTAAGCGACAGTCATACGCGAAGTCTGATGAACTTTTCATGATATAATCCCACAAGTGCATCGATTTGGATTCGTCTGTTAAATGTGAATTTTAGATATCAGAAAATATAAGAGAGTGAAGAAATATACTGTTCTTTAATTATCTACTGTTGTTTAATTTTTGTTATATATATTTTTAAGAGGATCAGAAGAGTTTCAATGACCGAAAATTGGATAATTTTAAATATTGTTTATGAATAGTTAAATTTTCTTGTTATGTTTTTAAGGGTTCTTTGATAAACAAAATCAGATGCAAAAATCAGATCCAAAAAAATATGAATATTTGAGGGAGATATAGGTAATTGAAAGTAACTGCGCCATTTACGCACTGCTGTGGTTTTGCCACGATTCCGGATGAACGAGTTGGAATTTTTCAATTTTTTTGGTGCCATTTTGTTTACGAGATCCTTCTTTATAGTGAATCTGAACCTAAAATAGAAAAAAACCAAAACATCAAGTTAAAAATAATGGCGGTCAAAAATTTGAAAATGTCGAAAAATTTTTTGCTGTTAAAATGGATTAAAAAAATAATTTTTTCGTGTACAAAAATAGGTTCAATTTGCAAAAAAATTTATTATTAGGTGTACAACTTTGCTTCCGCTGTTTTTTCCGAAATTCTTCCGAGGCTTTATTGTAAAAAACTGATATTTATACATTTATGATTCAAAGTATTGTCCATCGCCACTACTTTCTCCCATCTTTCGGGTAGCATACGAATCCCGCGTCGAAAAAACTGGTCATCTTTTGAGGCTATCCACGAATCGATCCAATTTTTTACTTCTTCATAAGACCGGAAGTGCTGGTCAGCCAGGCCGTGTGCCATTGATCGAAACAAATGATAATCAGAGGGAGCAATGTCGGGAGAATACGGCGGGTGGGGGTAGGACTTCCCATTTCAACGTTTCCAAGTATGTCTTGACCACTTTCGCAACATGGGGTCGAGCATGCTGCAAAATCACTTTATCGTGTCTCTCGTTGTATTGCGGCCGTTTGTCTTTCAATGCTCGGCTCAAACGCATCAATTGCGTTCGATACCGATCGCCTGTGACTGTTTCAGTCGGTTTTAACAGTTCATAATACACTACGCCGAGCTGGTCCCACCAAATACAGAGCATGACCTTGGAGCCGTGAATATTCGGTTTGGCCGTCGACGTGGAAGTATGGCCGGGAATTCCCCATGATTTTCTGCGCTTGGGATTATCGTAATGAACCCATTTTTCGTCCCCAGTCACAATGCGATGCAGAAATCCCTTTCCGTCTTTGCCTTTCAAGCAGCTGTTCACAAGCAAACAAATGCCGTTCAACATTTCTCGGCTTCAATTCGTACGGCACCCAATTTCCTTGCTTCTGAATCATTCCCATGGCTTTGAGGCGTTTTGAAATGGCTTGTTGAGTCACTCCCAATGATCGTGCCAATTCTTCTTGATTTTGACACGAGTCTTGCTCAAGTAATGCCTCCAATTCTGCATCTTCGAAAACCTTCTCTCTTCCACCGCCGGTCTTCGACGTCAAAATCACCGTTCTTGAAGCGTTGAAACCACTCACGACACGTTCTTTCACTAATAGCGGCCTCACCATAAGTATTTGAGAGCATTCGATGAGCCTCAGCCGCAGATTTCTTCATATTGAAGCAAAAAATTAAAACTGCAAATGACGAGAATTTGGCTCGTAAACTGACATTTTCAATCGAGAATAATTTTATGATGCAGACACAAATCGACTAATGTTTCTATGGGGTTATGTTGACAGATGCCCAAGTTTATTGTATGACGTCTATGATCTATTTATTTCGACCACCACTTACCGCTAAAGCCTATCTATAGGAAAACGGCGGAAGCAAAGTTGTACACCTAATAATTTTATTTTTCAAAAATGAAATCGATATCTATAGTCTTGAGTTATCGTGGCAAAATCAACGAAAAATATTATTTTGAGAAAAACGCGATCAAAATTTGAAAAGAAAATTTTTGCTAAAAAATTTATAAATCTTTCAAACTAATAGCAAAAATACACTATGTATCTGAATACACTATGTATTCTGTTAATTCCCTCTTTAGGATCGAGCACAGCTTCACGGAGAATAATAGAAATACGGAAGACACCGACCGAAATCCCTTGTATTTTCATTATCCCCTTCTATTTTTTGGTTCTCCTGAGTTAAATTTTTCGAATTTCTTAAAAAAAAGCAAACAGGAAAATATTCTTCAAAAATCTACTCATACTATGAGAATAAGTAAAAAAAACAAAAAATCGAATTTTTTTAAAGTGTGATTTTAAAACCATTCTAATTCCCTTAAATTCTTCAACTGTTTTATCCTCTCATATTCATATTTCTTTCTGATAATCTTCTCTTCTTTGAAATTAGTTTTAAGGGACTAACACTCTCAAACAGTTTATCGCGTTTCATTTTTCGACGAAAGCAAGCGGATGGGCGCCGAGATGGCCGATGTTAGACCCATCCCGACGATGGGGACGTCTCGTAGTCAAATATTGATACTAGGCCGGACTAAATCGTTCGACTATGCCAACAGATTAGGACGTACGTGCACCACGCTTGAGTAATAGCAATCGCGCGATAAGGACAGGACCAACGAAATTGAAATATCAACGCTAGCATACCGGTCGATGCGATCGATAATAAAAATATCTGTTCGTACCTATTAATGTCCTCCCCTTGCTTTTCACATCTCCGTGTTGCATAATATTTTAGCGACGGTATTATGATGAAACGTAGAAACACGAACGGCCGAACGCGCTTAACTGCAGCGTGAAATGCAAGAAATGTCACTTCTCGTGCGGATATAACCGGTTGGTTGAGTAAAAAAAGGACTGACAGTTCCATTACCTCCGGTACGTGCGCGGCCGGGCCAGGTTGTGCCGATCTATTTTGGGGGGACTAACTAAGTTCAGCGTCTGTTTCTCATTAAATTGCGCTCTGACCTCGAATCATCTAAATTTGGAACGGCCACGCCGATTAGGTGCATATTCATCACAGTGTGGTAATTCCGAAGTCTCAATCATTTATCGATAAACGATCAACATATATACAGAGAGATTTGCGTATTGTGTGCGGCAATATCATATGATAGGCGAGATAACATTTAGAAATAATTATAAAGATATATAAAATTTGTTCCATTTTTTTCAAGCATCTAGCAAAGATATGTCGTCTATCAGGCAATTGATGTGTTGTTTTTTCTATTGTATTATTATTACTTGTCTTACCTAGGTATCGGTATAATTTTACATTTTTCAGATTTATTTTCAATCATTGCTTAGATCTTCATATTTCCTCTCTCTCCTTCTCTCTCTCTCTCTCTCTCTCTCTCTCTCTCTCTCTCTCTATATATATATATATATACCGATTTTTTTTCTAATTTTAATTCTATATTTCTAAATCACTGGAAGCCCCAGATTTAAGATTTTAAGATATATTTAGATATTGTAACGATGTCCACATGCTGTACAAAATATATTTTAACAATATAGCAAATAATTGCCATAGATATTGGAAAAAAGAAGGCAAATATGATTATGACGTAAAACAGCAACTTCCTAGTTCCGCGGCTATTTTGCACGAGAGGAATGTTGATTACACGATATTGGCTCCCAGGAATCTCGGCACGGTATAAACGAACGCGCGGCAAGTACCACGATAAATTAGCCATAATGGCCGCGCACAATAACAGTATTTATTATTAATAACGAAGCGTCGGGCGTTGTTATTAGTTTCAAGAAATTAGACGGAGCCGATTCTCTCTGTCGGCCACGCGGAATCGCGCCTGCGCCAGTAAAGCCGGATTATCCAATGTCTCATGTTGTGCGACGGAGTCGCACTAATTTAATGGAAGCGATAATTTCTAATTTATTCATGAGTCATCGTTATCAACTTTTCGACATGATAAGCGGCGATATGCGAAGAAGAATGCAGTGCGCTGAGAATGCGAACGTCTGAAGACGTTCTCCAAGTTTACCGAAAAAGGAACTTTTTCATTCTGCTTTGCTTTTTTCTTTAACTTTCTCGGCTATTTTCCCGTTGATTGATGGATTCGATATGTTCGGTTTAAGAGAAATTAACAACTACGACTCACCGTCTGTAGTCGGCTTTGCAGAGGATCATGCCACTTTTGGTGTAGCAGGACTGGCCGATCTCTCCCAATACTACGTTGCAATATGTGCACTTGAGACAGCCAATATGCCAGTAGCGATCCATCGCTAGCAACAACCATCTTTCCACTATTTGTACACCGCAGGCGGCGCATTGCCGAAGACCCGTTGACCCGCTAGGGACACCTTCTTGCTGTAACATCAAGTTTTCATTTTTGTCACTTCTTAAGTGTAACATATACTACCTGAAATTCATAAATAGCAGACTATAATTTACATTAATTTGTATTAAATTAAACTTGTTATTACGTTTTCTCGAGACAGCAAGAGAGATGATTGGTACGAAGTGAGTTTGAGTTCTAAAAAATGATGGCGGACATATTTTTTTAAGAGGACACGTATACGAGTTGCCATAGAACTTAGAAATCGTTTCTAGCCCATTATAAGTAGAAATTCAAGCATCGTGGTAATTAATGCGAAACAGAAAGTCATTAACGAACACTAAATCATTACGGCGTCTTAAGTGCGCGCTTATTATGAATGCTTACTCGTGATTATGCAAACACACGTAGGCGAACGTAACTCTTGCTAGCGGGATCTACAACTTGCTCGCTAATTTCACTTTGTGCAACATTGCTCAATACAGTATTGTTAAAAATACTTTAGTTTATCATTAATTCAATGAAATTGCATTGATCTTATATTTGACAAGTTCTTCTTGTCGATAACAAGTTCTTCTTCTAATTCTCGATAATTATATTTATCTAAAAAGATGAAAAAAAATGATATGTGCAACTATTTTTGTGGAAAAAGTAATAAAAAATTTGAAGATAAAATTAATTGGTCTATCTGTGTTATTTGTAGAAATATACACACATAAAAAGAAAAGAAACAATTCGGTGATTAAAAACAAGTGTCGATTTCAATACAAGCCAGATGCGCTGTTATTGCAGCTGCTACACTGAGAGAAAAATATTTGTGACCATAATTGTATGGTAAAATATAGATAATAAATTAAATGATTAAAAGCTTTATTTTTAAAGTTATTGCTGTTATACTATTGTAATAATAATTCTATTTATAACTCTACTCCAAAAAATATAGAGTTGTTACTGAAAATGACTATAAATTATAGTTAAATTATGACAATTGCAACTATTTTTTTTTCTCAGTGTAGCTATAGATTTCTATGTTAAAAGTACACAAAAATTATACATTGGATACACGCATATTTAACATGTGTACTTGTATTTGTTACATTCGTATATTTAATATCTATCAACGTAATAATCCCGTGGTGTAGGATGACTTTCAAATAACAACGTCTGCCCGTGCAGTTATGCGAATAGTCGGACACGGTACGCTACGCACAGCAATATTCATTCGACTTGCGTCACAGAATATGAGAGCGAATGCGTTAATTGCTATTGCGTCGTGTCGACGAGCGTAGTCTCCGAAAAAGATATATTTCCCGCGCGAAAAGAAAAAAAAAAATGTTCTCAACTGCGCATGTAATCTTACTTTGACTTCCGTTTTGATGCCGGAGATCCACTTATTCATCCGTGGCGTAATCGCGTTGTATTGATACGAGTATTGGACCTCCATGACGCACTTCACTGTGTGTGTCTCTCTCTCTCTCTCACCGTGGAGCACGAGGTAGAAAAAGAAATGGAGCGAAAGAAAAGAGAGGAACAATGTCGAAAAACTGATCTCGGGCCGCACTCCGGATTCACTCGGCCAATGATATCACTCGACCTCGAACAAGTTCCCGTTGCGATACACTCACTTTCCCCCACCGCGATTTGCGGGATTTCAAGGATCCGGAGGACCTCGCTTCCCCGTCGAATTTCACACAGTATTATGGAAACGAAGCCTCTAAGAACTTTAGACGACTATAAGCGAAGCTTGCCACTTTCGGCGTCGCCGTATCCTCGCGTAACGCGGTGCATGGATGTACGTATACAGAAAGGGAATGAGAGGAGAGAAGAGAAGAAACGAAACGAAACGAAACGAAACGAAACGAAACGAAACGAAACGAAACGAAACGAAACGAAACGAAACGAAACGAAACGAAGCGAAGCGACGTACGGATGGGACCCAACTGGCTGGTGCTGCGGGCCCCCCGAATGCCTGCGGGCCTGCGCGGGTTCAGGTACCTTGGTCTCAGGGTAGGGAGAATATAAAAAGGCGAGTCTAGAAAAGAACCAACCAACGCTGAAAGAGAAGGCAAGATAAAGACAGAGTGACGGATCAACGAGGCGAGGGGAAAGGAAACAGAGCGGATTGAGAGGGGAGGTGAACGGAGGGACCCATTCGTGTGCCAGACAGAGAGAGACCCAACGACTGGGAAGGGGAGAGAAAGGGGAAGGGGTCTTTTCCATAGCATCGGTTGAGAGAAGAGAATGGTAGGAAGGGGGAGAAAGAAAAAGAGAGAGAAACAGGAGAGGAACAAAGACAGACAGAGGTGAGAGAGGAATATATTCTGGGACAGGCTTCCTAAGTGCCGTGAGTCTTACAATGTTGTGTAAAGCGAAAGTTGCGGCGAATTTTCAGATACATTACGTATACATTTATGGAATATAATGGTAAAGAAAGTAAAAAATAAAGTAGCAGAAAAAAAAAGAAAAGATATAGTATGAAAAACAAATTATGAAAAAAATGCAGAAAGAGACAGGAAATCAAAGCACAGGAATAAAAAAAGAGACGCAAAACAGGCTAGAGAAAGAGAAGCAAAATAGAGGGATAAAAAAAGAGAAATAGAAGGGAGTCTAAAACCAAGAAGATATGAAGGAGGTAAAGATAAAAATATGAAAAACATAAGAAGATTTGAGAGAAAAAAATAAGGAGAACGGTAGAAGAGAGGAGAAAAGAGAAAGAATAACGAATACAGAAAACTCAATATAGAGAAAAAAAGGAGCAGCGTGAGAATAAATCGGAGTGAGACAGTGACAGTATACGAGTGGAAACAAGACTGAGAAACTATAAGAAAGATTATAAGAAAGAACGACAGAAAGAAGATCCAAAAAATTCGAAGAATGAATACGACAGTACGTCATTCAAGAATCCAAATAATTGATAGATTCGAGTTAACAATTATGGCACTTGATTATTTAAATCATGAGAAAAAAAAAATTTTAGAATGTGAATTTTAGAAAATTTAACAGTATAAAATTTCAGACACCTGGAATAAAAAGTGTTTATCTTGATTTCCAAAACAGCCACTATTAATATCGGATAACAATTCTAGATATACAAGAAAGTGTAAGAAAATTTAAAACATGTAACTTTTGTTGCTGTCCAAGTCAATGTCATCCTCTTCCAGTCATAATTGATAAAATAAAATCCCAATTACATTTTTCTCAAAAAGAGAGATATAATTTAAATTGTGGTTGTAACACAATTTCGTATGTTATATACATTTATACAAATAGCAGAAAAAAGCCAGATAATTGGACGAATTATTTAGAAAATAAGAAAATGTCCTGTTAAATTTAAACCAGAACGTAGTTGAAAAAAAAAAGACTCTATAGTAGCAAAACAGTTCACAAAGTAGAGCAACAGATGTATGTACGTCTTTGGGCGTTGGAAACCGGAAGACAGGGTACAGTCAACACAGAAAGGTGAATAAAGAATGAAAGTTGGAGAAGCAATATACTCTGAAAAAGGCAGAACGTTGTGTGATGCAAGGGCAGGGAAGAGAAGAAAGGGAAAAGGGCAGGTAAAGCATCGAGCAAAAAACTGCAAGAGGGAACCGCGCGAGCCCCTCCGCCCCTATTCAATTATATTTCTCCATCATAAATGCCTATATTGTTACGTTTGTCAATGGTGGGGTAAGTGAGGGTCGGACGGATAATACTGTCGAATTGTACCCTGTGACCCTATGTTATACCGTTCCCGAGTTCTTTATGACGAAGTCGGAGGGTCTTGGAATTTTTCGCCACTCTTCGTCTTTGGAACCACCTGTATCGCTTCACTCGTACAAGAAAAAATTGAATTTCAGAGCATATGTAATTCATACGCGCATATAAAAAAATATTAACGAAATACTGATATTTCAAAAATAACCGAAGACATCAGGAGATGGTAATGTCTTGGCGCTAAGACAAAACGTAGCGTCGATAAATTATTACATAAAATCAGACATTATGTAAAAATACAATATTCACCTTGAGCGTGCAGTTATTGTTGTGATTAACCGGCGGGTACGCGGGATGCCCCGGCATATGCGGATGGGGATGTCCAGGGTGATGTGGATGATCTGGCATCATGCCGCCACCGCTATGATGATGTCCGTTGCTGCCCATACCCTGTCCAGGTTGTAGGGCACCGTAAGGAGTGGCGGGATCGCCTGCACCACCACTATGTTGAGGTGAATGCGGGCTGGGTAAGTCGGGGGTGGTCGTGGTGCCGCCGCCACCGCCACCTCCGCCACCTCCACCAGTCCCATACGCGTGATGCGGCCCGCCGGGCCCTGGATGATGCGGACTGCTCGAGAGCGAGGGATGGTGGGGGTAGGCTGCGGAGTGGCCCGGATGGTGGGGGTTCATGCCAGCGGTTAACGCGCTCGCCAGTTTGACCGATGAAAGGGTGGGCTCAGAGAGCCCACCGACGGTTTCCAACGGCGAAACGAAGAAGAGAGGAGCGGCTATGCGGCGCTCTATTGCGTCTCGGCACCGGCTCTTTTCTTCCGGTACTTCGGTGAAATCTGTAACAATAAAATAAGTGTTTTTTGAAAGTTAATTGATTGATAAAAGATTGATCGAGTAAAGTTCTGATATAAATATCATTGTTTGATAAAAGTTAATTCAGCATATCAATTATCTTTCTCTTTGATCCTTTTCTTAACAAATCGACAACAAGTAAAATCTTAATTGTTATATAAATTAAAGACGCATTACACATATTATATATCCTGATATATATCCTTAATATTATAGAGCAATTTGGTATCGATGCCTTCTTTCTCATACTTTATCTATCATTGTTGCTATATTTAAAAAATTCTACTTTTGTATAACATGATATAAAAATCATAGAAATCAAAATGCAAGGAAATTTTAACTATTCACTAAGAGTGAATTAGAATTCACGAAACAGCCTGATCTGTTCTTTGTCAAAAGCCTTGAGATTGGCAAGTGTGACCTGTGCGGCACGCCCATCTTAATTAACAGTAATTGTTCGTCCCTAGCTCAGCGGGTGTCGACCAACCAACCTTCCATTCCAAACTTCTGTCTACTTGTCCTTTGGGGCGCAACAAGCGGTCTTTATTTGATCGGCCTTAAGGGCGGATGATATCTTACAGGAATATTCTCTTCGTGAGAAGATGAACGTTAACCTATAACGGTTTTCTCTAATAACATTCAACGATATGTGTATGTGTGTGTGTGTGTGTGTGTGTGTGTGTGTGTGTGTGTGTGTGTGTACGCATAATAATTAATGAATAATGGAGAAGTAATTATCTTCTTGTAACGACGATCGATAATAAATTCGTCGGTCCGACAATCTCATAAAGAGAGATAAGCGTGTGTAACATTAAAAATTTCTTTGTTATGCAAAAGGGTGCGCTTCGTTTCGATAAATGCGATTCCACTGTATGCGGGGAAAGTAAAACTGTCGGTGCGTCCTCGGTGGGAGAAAGTAATTAGCGCGCGCGCGCTGAAGCATATATTATTCCACGATGCAGGCGCACATCGGTACATCGGAACACACTCAGGCTCTTAATACGTATTTAATTAAGTATGCCGTGGTAGAGAGAGCGTAGGAGGACGCGCGGAGGAGGGCGGACGACGGGGGAGTTTATAGTGGATATCAGTATGGGCAACCATAACTCTCTCGCGCCTCCGCCAGCGAGCAGCGTGCCACTTATACGAGCACCTACCGCGATGGAATTTCATCCTCGCCGTTACCACATAAATCTCCGGCGCATTAATGCCCTTACGGACTCGCCCGCTCCGCGTTTCTGCGTGTCGGCTTCTTCTTAATGCGGTTACTTAGATGCCGCACGCGTGTCACACAGCGTTCCGTTCACAAGTTGGGATTTCAAAACTATCGCAAATTATCGCATCAATCGTTCAATCGTAAATCAAAATAATTATGGATCGCGTTAAGAACACGCTCATACCAGATCGTGTACGAAAAACACTGTGGGAATTGTGGAATTGTCGTTATCGAACAAGTAAATTAAAAGTATAAGGAATATTTGTTCAAATCGATATCATCAAAATATGGGGTTAGCCTGACGAGTTGTGATTTCAAATGTAGATGCCGATGCTCCCCGTCGTTCGTTATCAGCTCGCTCCCACGCATTTACGAGGCCTGACCTCTCCAGAGACGTTCGCCGTGCTCCTCGCGGAAGCGCGATAGCCAAACGATAACAAGATGATAACGAGGGAATACACCGGTAATTACCGGAATGATAATGACGAGAAGAACGACGAAAGCGCGTGGGTGAGTGGGGGGTGGTGGTGGAAGGCGAAGGAGGAGAACAGCAGAGGGCGATCGGCTGCGATAGGGATAATTAACGATCGCAATCGTACGAAAATGAGGACAGGGCGAGTGCGACGACGACGATAACGAGCGGTCCAGCGATCTTATTAGCGATAAGCGTCGATAACGAGGACGCCCCGTTTCTATACGACAGCGAGCGGAAAGAAAGTCAGCCTAAGGATTAATGGCGATCCTTGTAGTCATTGCGGGGATGGAACGTTACATTCCGGATGACATCCAATCCCTTAATGGCTGGCTTGCCTCAACCGTTTCAAGGTCGCCAACCATATGTTTTTAATTTTAGACACATGTTGATTAAACACGTGACTAATATATCCCCACATGTATGAAAATAAAATTTTAAAACAATATATATAAGATAACAGTACAAAACAGTACAAACTTCATTATAGTAAACCCTCTTTTCTTTATTGAGACGAATTTCTCTCGATTCACGATTTACAGCATCTACGTTCGAATTGAATTTAAATATTTCTTGGACTGACAAACTCTTTCGCGAATTGCCAGATCGTAAAAGTCCTCCTTCGCCATCTCCCTTTGTATGTGCGATCGCATTGTTGAAAATTGCTGTTTCATTGGGATCGGCAGTATTACGAAATCGTATAGTAGGGCGTTGTCTTAAGGACCAATAAAATGATACAGTTCGGGTAACCCATGATTCTGCAAAATTAATATCGGCGCTACAATTTCATTCCAAGACGATAACTCATCGCGCTTATTTAAGAGTAGAGAACATACAGACGCGCTTTGAAATCTTCATAAACTTAATGTTAAAATAAGGGATATCATTTTAAAAGATGAACGATAGTCTAACTAGAATGCTATCAGCTTCCTAATTTCATCAGTCATCGATCAGACGTCAAAAAGTGACAGAGATAAAATGTTTCAACGTCGCAGCGAAAATTTTTACGCACGCTATTCTACCATCACAGACGAGAAATGCAACCTCAGCGAATTTACATCAAGATCTGCTTATTAATGTATTATTTTTCTTGATAGCTGATAGTTATGTATATATATTCAACATCCCACGGTGTGAGGAAAAAAGAGCAACTCTGATTATTATTAATAAAAAAAAATGAGGTTATGCACCAGTCCTCAAAGGAACTCCGGTAATGATGACCAAGACTCACCCTCGGGCTTTCCATCTTCCAATTCCGCGGCAATAATACGTTACGCGGAAGATTCAAGAATTCCGCTGCAGCCGGTCGACGACAATAAAATAGAGTATTTTGTATCTCGTAATAAACCTTCAAGTGGCATAATGAACACCCTCGAGTCTGCAAGTACCGAAACGCGCGTTCTAGAAGTGCGTCAGAACCAATCGATGTAACGGAGAGAGAGAGAGAGAGAGAGAGAGAGAGAGAGAGAGAGAACTCTCAAAATTACGACTCGTCACAAGAACGTCATGAGAAATTTGTATCCAGAATTCTTGGAAATTTATTGCGAATATTTACTACTAATTCATTTAATTAGCTCGACCATGACTCTGTTTAAATAAAGATTCATAATTCAAAGCCAACTTGCCTCATACCAAGAAACAAGATAACGCTCCTATTCCTCCATCTATTTTGTATAATAATAAATTTACAGAGCTTAGTTATATAACTTACAATGTCCTAATTTGCCTTTTTGGGAATATCAAATGTCTTAAGATTATTGCCCTGGTTTCGCACGAAAAAACACGGTCATTCTCTTAGGGCGCGCCCGAGGCGAGTGAGGATCGATGTAGGGATGTAATGATAAGTTCAGGCCGGTAATCACAGGCGAGAGAGGGACAGCGACGGGGAAGACACTGAAAATAATCTAATTATTGGCGAGGACGATTATAGTGATTAGACGCGTCGCGGCGGCCTCTTCCCTGTTTGCCACGCACGGCCCACCTATTATAAGTGTATCCTAGGAGGGTGTACAAATGAAAAGGCGTGCGCGGGCGCGCGCGTGAATGCGAGCTCTCCTTTCTTCGGACGAAGGAAACAGGCGGCAGGGAAGAGGAACAACAACGAGGGACCACGGCACGCAATTACTGAGGAATGCAGACGAAGGAAGAAAGCGGCTTTCTTCCATGTATTGGCCCGCCATGTTCACTGAATTCGTTTGACGCAATCCTTACTCTTGGAAATTTCAAATCGGAACAATTCGAGCGTCGAGTTGTTCTTTTGGTTCTTCTTAGATCTCTGTTGAAATATTCGCATAAGTTGAAGTTGGTTTCTTGGCTCGTTAAGGATTTTTAAGTTCATTACTCTTTGCGTTCTTAAATAAGGAGATTCATGGACTGATAAACTCTTCGTTTTTATGATCTTGGAACTTGGATTCATAAACCTCGAATAGCACTTGGAGAAAGTTATTGTAACGAGATAAATAGCATAAATATATTTCTGCATGCAGATGCATTTACACAATTCTCAAAGTTAAGAAAAATAAGAAGAATAGGTTAATAGATAAAAAAAAAACAATGATTAGTCAATACAATGTCTTGCGCGCTGCCGAAGACTATCGGTCGTTACGGTCGGCTTGAGATTCATGTGGCGCAAAGTAACAAGCTGCCAACGTTGGATATTTATGGGGGCCGTCAAGGGTCAAACCCAGTTTCGCCCAATACGCACAGTTGCCATTCCACATCTTCGCCGCGAGAGGGAGAAGAAGAGAGAGAATAACAATTTTATATTTTATATTTAATACCTTGTGTGCGCCACGATGCACTCCTGTCCCTGCGGAAACGAGTGGATAGAATTTTCTTCAAAAACTTTTCTCGACTTTTTTGATCGGCGAATAGCCCCCGACAATCTTCCGAGAGATATCATACTTTAATGCAATTCAGGATGATAATCCCCAAATGAAATATATATACATATATAATATACATATACGTATTGTGTCGCTTCTGACATGTGTAAGTTTTGTGGATCATTAAAACATAGCAAGATAATATTACTGTTCTGAGGTATGTAGTTGAAGATGAAACTTCCCCTTGTCCTTCTTCCCATATGCACAACCACTACGGGAACATGCGAGTGCGCCGCAGTGCGCAATAAAATTAGCGTCTATCGGTCAAGGTAAGTGCGGCGCGCATTAGACAAGGCGGTCGAGCGGGTGAAGATCAGGAAACGTCGGAACCGAGTGGAAGGCAGGCATGGTGGAAGCAATGGAAGCCTAATTGGCCGAAATTAGCAAGTTTAGTCATTAGCGGAGTTTCCG